ATACGCAATACAATCATCCAAAATCTGATTTCAGTTTCTTGTCGTGTAATTTCTGACTAATCTTATACTTTTTGAAGCATTGAGCTACTGTTCATACTACGGGAAGAAGTTTGATCCAGAGCCAGGGAGATGTAGGAGGACCGATGGAAAGAAATGGAGATGCTCAAAAGACGCGTATCCAGACTCCAAATACTGTGAACGCCATATGCATCGTGGTAGTACTTAACTTTTGATTGTGAATTATGTTTTCCAGATTACAAAACCCAATTTTGATTGCCAAAATTGGTAAGACTATCACTAATTTTTTTGAAGAAACTGAAGAAGCACACCACGTGTTTGATAAAATGTCTCAACGAAAAAATAGTTAAAAATCATTAATGTTTTTACTTCACTTTGTTCCTTATTCATTTCAGAACTATATAACTCAATTTAGATTGGGTTGGATGCCATTTTCATAACAATAGGTTGATGCTAGTTCCTTATTCTGTCAGAATTTGTAGTTTAATATATTGAACATATCGAGAAGAAACACATGGAACCCGAAGAATGTTAGTTCCTTATTCTATCAGAATAGGTTGATGCTAGTTCCTTATTTTGTTTGTTGGATATATTCTTGATAATACAAATTCTTAAATAATATTCTTGCAGAATAGTTTATTTTGTAAGAATATTATTTGTTGCATTCTGATAAAATTGTAGTTAATTATTTGTATGTTTAATGTGCAGGTTTTACAAGTGTATCACTACATATTACTTGGCAATGAATTTCTGGTAGAAAAGGCTTCAAGAATGGCTTGAAGACCTGATGGGAAAGGGTTGAAGAATGAATTAAAGAATGATCACACTCATTTTTTAAGAATGTTGTTATTTTTTAATAATTATACTTGTTTATTCTTTCAGAATGTTTGTTATTATTCAATGAATCACAATCATACAATGTAATTTTTTGATATATTATTAGTTCAAGAATCGATTTTGTGTATTCTTTCAGAATGTATTTACTAGTTTATGTTTGTCATTCTGCCATTCTGCCAGAATAAAATCGAAAAATATATTCACTAGTTTATGATTGACACTTTATCATTCTGACAGAATAAAATCGGATTTTTAAATTTGAATTAATTTAAAATATTCAGATTTTTAAAAAATAAAGGAATTAATCATCCCTAAAAATCCGAAAATTTCCTTTTTTAATATAGGTTAATTGACTAAAATGCCCTTATTCTAAAATTTGTGTGATTATATAGTACATGCTATCCTATTCTACTATCATAGACCCTCAAATCATGACATTTGATTATATTTCATCCGATGGTCCAGATCTGTGCATTCTGGCACACAATAGTTAGTAAAAACAAAATAACCTAACCCTATATATATATATATATATATATATATATATATATATATATATATATATATATATATATATATATATATATATATATATATATATATATACACGCCTCATCTTAAATTCCTATAAAGTTATAAAAGAAATTTGATGTTTACTACAAAAGGTTTTCACCCACGCGTTCTTCCCCTCCTTCCACAATCCTTGAACATTAATAAAGAGTAAATTCATGAGAAATCTTCAACTCCTCCATGATTATTAATAAGATCCTGAATATTTTGAGTAAATCCTTCCATTGCTTAACCCTCGCTTGCCCAAAATCAATAAAAGCATTCAATTCATCAATAAGGGAAAAACATCGTCTCTTCCTCAATATTTTAATGGAATCGCCTAATGATGAGTGAGAGTCACCATAACCTTCTTTTATATCCTTAGAATTCTTATTTTCAACACCCTTTTAACCCCCTATAACGAATGGAACTGAAGTTTTCGAATTAATCAAATTCTCACCTAAAGACCTCTTGTAGAGTTTGTTGCTTGGCGCCCACTCTCCAAGTTAATTTATGGAGATGAGTTTCGTTGAATAAGAGCATTTATGTATTTCAGCTAAATACTAGTTTTGGATCGAATCAGACCGGAACCAAAGAGTCGAAAACCGATTAGGGAGAACCGGATCGAATACCATTAACCGGTTCCGGTTCGGTTCTACTAGGAAGTTTCTATCTAAGAAGGTCTTCGGTACCCGACCCCGAACCGGAATCAAAAGAACCGAAAACCGAAAATGATAAATTAGGGGAATCGGGAAACGAACCAAATACCACTAATAGGTTTAAACCGATTGCGGTTGCAATTCAGTTTTTCAGTTAAAAAGTTCATCCCTAATTCTTAACATCTATATAAAATAATGTAATAAGAACAACTTAATGGATAAATAGCTTAATCAAAAAAATCACATTTATCTCTTCTTCACTTAAAGTTTATTAAAAGGAGTTTATGGGTTTGGTTGTCAATCCAAATCATTAAATGCTTAATACTCGTGTAATTGCATGAAATATACAACACCATTCAAGATGGGAGGATACAAAGCATATATGTCAAATTGTGAATAGAATCGAGAATGGCCATACAAAAATTATAGATTATGCATTGTGTAGAATTACAGAGGTGTGGCAACTAATTAGAAAGTAACCGGAATTTCATAAGCCAAGTGTAACAAATATTACTTAAGGTATAAAAAGATCCTATTGAAATATGACATTTTTATGCAAGTTTATCTGTGAGGTTCCCTTTATAAATAAAGTTCATTTGTGCAAAGCAAGTTTGAGAAACCGAGGTTGTTTTATTTATAATGATTTACATTTTTATCTTTATAGTTACGTGGAAAGAGTGTTGGACAATGAAGCTATTGGGTGTGGAATAATCCAAAGACAAAAACCGAAGAGAGTAGCTTTAGATGCACTATTTTGCTTATGGACAATGAAGGCGTTACGTTTGGTAACCATATGATGGTTAGGTTTCTTGTTATAAACCATTATTTCTACTTATACTTTTTATTGAAATGTTTAATAAATTTATTTAAACTTTTTTTTTTCACATCTTTTATGTTTCATTTTATAGAGACTACAGGACATACATATGTTCTCTTTAGTTGTACTGTTATTCGGTGTGCTAATATATAACCAAGTCAGGTTTTTATTTACCTCACCGACTTAGTTTTTTTACTTCATCTTGTACCGTTTACGTATTCTTCTATTAGATGGGAGCTTGCATTGAGAATGTGGGTATTGCTAGCCTCTCTTTTGCAACCGCAATTACAGAAGATCTTTATAACTTTGGAGCAGTGTCAAAGCTTTGAGAATTCTTCCAATTTCTATGTATCTAGCATTTAAGGGTACACTCATGATGTTTTTTTACTCATCCATTGGCAGCTCCCTCTTATGGTGTTTTTAACTTTATCACCATGATTTTTATTGTGGGATTTCTATACAGGTATATGTCACACATATTCTCAACTAACTACTACTACCGGTTGTTGGTTTTAGATTTGTATATAATGTTGTCATTCTTTTATCTACTTACCTGATAGATTCCAAAAGCTATCACTGATGTCCTTCCTAAAAGGATGTATCATGTATGCCACTCTTGTGCAACATGTTACCCACAAGAACGACCTTTGTCAGCTTCATGAAATAGGAGTAAGTAATTACTTTTATGTAAATAAAACTAAATTGTAGGTATATTTATCATCGAAGATTTTTAACTTCAAGTAACTATAAACCATGTAGGTGGATAAACTAAGAGCATGCCACAAAACGGGACGAAAGAATCTCACAAACTTTATTTTTGAGAAAACCATACCTAAGAATGTTAGAGAGACTGTTACAATCAGGCCTATTTTGGTTGACATCACTAAATTCCTTTTTAGATGTTTTTAATACCAGTGTAATATTTTTTCTTTTTTAGTTGAACCCGTGGAAGTGTTTCGATAATCTACTATCTAAGCACTTGTTCACTAGTTCAAATTAAAAATAAAAAATAAAAATAAAGTATTAAAAGCATCTAAAAAGGATCTTTGTGATGTCAACCAAAATAGGTCGTTGGAACCATCCCTCCAACGTTCTTAGGCCTGGTTTTCTCATAAAGAAATGTCATGAGATTCTCCCATCACTGGCTTTAGTTTATCCATCAACAATGTTTATAGTTACTTCAAGTTGAACACAATCTTCAATGATATATAATAAATATATCGACAATTTTTTTATCATAAAAGAAATTACTATCTCCTATCGTGAAGCTGCCCTCTCATAGGCCACATAAGAGTGGCATAGGTGATAGGTCCTCTTAAGAAATAGATCGGTCATAACTTTTCAAATCTATCATAAATAGAGGTAGATAGATAAGAAACTTGACAAAAATATTTACAATCTAGAACCAACAAGTGGTTGTAGTAGTAATAGTTAGTTGAGATTGAGCTAAAATTAAAGAACCTCAATTTTGGCTGAACAATCCTAAAAATAATCCTACGGCTTGAGGTCATTTCAAGGTAATCGTGAGCATTTGGGTGCGCTATGCCCAAATAAAAATCATGCAATAAAAAAACATAGTGATAATGTTAAAACACCATACGAGTGATAGCTAACACATCAGTCAAAAAAAAAAAACTGCATGAAAATGTAACCCATAAAACCCACACAAAAAATAGGGTGAATTCTCCAAGCTATGAAATTGTGGTTTCTCCTCCAAAGTTATGAAGATGCTTTGTAATTCATTTACAAAAGAGATGCTAGAAACACCCACATTTATTTCAAAGGTTAAAGTTATAACATTTATTATTTCAAGCATATCGATCTCCTGTTTATGTATGACCACAAGATAATTTTGAAGTTTCGCTTAAACAATATTTAACAAAAATCTGATTTTCACTATTAAAACATCAAACATATTTTGATGTTTCAAAATGACATATACTGTATTTCGTTTATTAGACCCTAAATTAAATTCATTAAAGTTCCCCAAAATCAAAGCGTGATTCTTCATTCATAATCTCTCAGAAGGTAAAAATCGAAATAAAAAGAAGACCGGAGAATGAAATCAACCTATCAATTTTAATAACGATAGCAACCATGTAAATTTAAATCAGAACATTTTCAGAAATGAAAAATATTTGGATATGTGTTTTAAAAATTTATAGCGATAATACACAAGGTCAATAGCCAATTTCTTAACTATCCTTAAAGCTTCATGAAAGCTTTTTTTAATTCCACCGTTTTGAAATTGCAATAATTAAATAAACTATTTAAGCTTTTCAACAATTCTGATAATATGATTACAAGTAACTAACACACAAATTCCCAAAAATGATGTTTTTGAAAGAAAACAAAAACATCATTTCAAATCTTTCAAATTAGGTCTAAATATACAACTTCAAAGAAAAATTAGCACACACATACCAAATGAAACCTATTATGTGAACAGACATGTCAATGTCAAACCATGGTGAGTTAGTTTCATCCAACCATGGTTCGCTTTCTGCCTCTTAGCCTCACTGTCACAAGTTAACATGCAACAATATTATATCATATAAACAATTAATATATATATATATATATATATATATATATATATATATATATATAAGATATTATTACTTTTATTAATATAACGATTCTACTAGTCTAATAAAATGGTTTACAAGGTTGTAAAAGCTTTGATTTTTTGATAACTTTTACCATTCCCTTTTTAGCCAAGCCTTTTTATTTACTTATCATAAAGCATACCTGATACAGATACACGTCTAACAATCAGTAAAGGGAGCACACTGGGACCACTAAGAGTGTATTCTAGAAGGGGAAAAAGGGCAAATCCGGAAAGTGGCTAAATTGGTTAGGGCGTGAGAAGAGAATAAAAGGGAGGAGAATATTTTGTTTTGATCATCTGGTTATTTTGTGATATTTGTATTGGCTCAGGAGTATTCATGCTCTGTGAGAGAGGGACCACTCCCTGGACAATCGTATGATTGGTTTTGATTACGTTTTATCAATAGAAACTATCTCCCTTTCCATTCATTTCAGTTTTTTTACAAAACTTTCTTACATAAGCTAGTATTCTATCAATCTCAATTCTCTATCACTGGTCCGACCTGCTACGCTCTGCCCTGAGTAAGGAATGGTTCAGGCTACAGTTGAAACTCGATCTCAGGCATCTCGTCTAGATCACCATGACGAGCAGATTTCCCAATTGCAAGCTGATTTGACGGTGATACAATCTAAGATGGACAGCGAACGGGAAGAAATGGTGGAATTTAGAAAGTATATGATGAACTGGATTAAGAAGCAAGATAAATCCGTGGAAGCAGGTGCCGATGGCTCTTCTGGTGGCGTTTCTGGTATGGGAAGCGGTTCTCCATTTGTCCAGACTCCTTTGATTCACATTCCTGGATCTGGGAGTGGTTCGATTCCATCCTCGGGAGCAACGGGATCTGTGACTGGTGGGTTACCCTGGGCTGTCAAGAAAGTGAAATTGCCGGAGTTCTATGGATTCGATCCTCAAGGATGGATCCAAAAGGCTAATCTCTTCTTCGAGATCAATGGCACCGATCCTTCTCTTCGTCTCCGATTGGCGCAACTCAGCATGACGGGTGTCGCCCAACATTGGTTCTCTATTGTGCGTCAGGTTCATGAATCTCTCACGTGGGAGCAATTCCAAGAGGAATTACTTCAGCATTTCAGTGGTTTGGAGATCCAAAATCCCTATGAACAACTCGCTTCGATTCAACAACTATCCTCCATCAATGATTACATCGATGATTTTGAGTATTTGATGGCCCTCGTGCCCAAGATGCCTGAAATGCAAGCTATGGGGTATTTTATGGCTGGATTGCAAGATGAAGTGCGACGGTGGGTTCGACTGCAACGTCTTCACTCGCGTTTAGATGCGATGTACTCCGCCAAAGACGTCGAAGAAATCCTCCGTCCGACCACCGGTAATATTTCCCAAACCCGTTTTCGTTATCAATCAGCTCCTGGATCGGGTTTGGATTTTGGGTCGGATATTAAATCTTTTAGTGGAAGTCGGGTCGACCCAAAAGGATTTACTAACCCTAAACAGACGGAGCGTATCCCGATGCAACGTATTGATGGCCATCGTTCTTTCTTAGCCTCTCGTTCTTCGTGTACGTCCCCACTCGATCCTCCTAACCTTCATCGTGACAGAGGAGTTCGATCCTTGACACGCACCGAATGGGAAGAACGTCGGAAAAAAGGCTTATGTTTCCGATGTGGTCAGCAGTTTGGCCCAACTCACAAATGTCCAAACGGGAAATTACGTGTGTTGATACTGGGCGATGATGAAGCAGATGAGGGAAGCCAATTTATCCTGACTGAGTCACCCATTTCAGAGGATACTTCTTCTCTTCCAATCGAGGAAGGGCACTGCGCCGCGTTAGAGTTCACTGGTTCATCAACCGAGTGTAGTGGAGGTAAAACCCTTAAATTTGATGGTGAACTCTTAGGGATTCCTGTTGTGGTCCTTGTTGATAGTGGAGCCACCCACAATTTTGTGTCACGTCAATTGGTATTGGCTTTAGGCATTCATTCTGTCCAATTTCGTGGGATCAACATTAAGTTGGGAGATGGTCATGTGGTTCGGGTGACTGAGAAATGTCTCCACCTGCGCTTCTTGATGGGAGGTTGTTCTTTTGAAGTGAATACGTTAGTATTTGACATGGGGAGTACTGATATCATCTTGGGCATGGAATGGTTGAAGACTTTGGGTGAAGTGACACACAGTTGGGATAAGTCATGGATGCGGTTTTCTTATCAAGGCAAGATTGTTCAGCTTCAAGGTTTAGCTCCGGGCCAACATTCTCAAGCTTCCTTACACAAATGGTTACACGAGAACCCATCCACCACACACGACCAATGCATCCCTCGTACTTCCAGTGGGTTGATTACCTCTATGGAAAATATGCCTTTAGCAATTGATCAGTTAGCTGAGTTGCATTCAATGCTTAACAAATTTGGTGCAGTTTTTCAACCTCCCAAGGGCCTGCCCCCTTCTCGATCACATGATCATATGATCAACTTGGCCAATCCTCATGATCCGGTGTGTGTCAGGCCTTATCGTTATCCGCATGCTCAAAAGTCCGAAATTGAAAGGCAAGTTCAGGAGCTGCTAGATTTGGGGATGATCCGACCCAGTAAAGGTGCTTATTCAAGCCCGGTGATTTTAGTTCGCAAGAAAGATAACACTTGGAGAATGTGTGTTGATTATAGAGCATTAAACAAAGCAACTATTCCCGACAAGTTTCCGATTCCGGTGGTGGAAGAATTATTAGATGAATTATTTGGGGCGTGTTATTTTTCCAAACTAGACTTAAAATCGGGTTATAATCAGATCAAAATGCATAAAGACAGCATTGAGAGGACAGCTTTTCGTACCCATGATGGTCACTATGAATACTTGGTGATGCCTTTTGGATTGATGAATGCTCCGGCCACATTCCAAGCGGTGATGAATGATGTTTTTCGGCCTATGTTACGAAAAAAAGTGGTTATTTTTTTTGATGATATATTGGTATACAGTGCTTCTTGGAATGAGCATTTAAGAGATTTGGAGGACGTGATGTACATTTTGGAGCATAACCACTTCGTGGTCAATCAAAAAAAATGTTCATTTGGCAAAAAATCTATTGAATATTTGGGCCACATCATTGATGGTCAGGGTGTTGCAATGGAACCAACAAAAGTAGAGGCGGTGGTGCAGTGGCCAGTTCCCAAACAGTTAAAAGGGCTCCGGGGATTCCTCGGATTAACAGGATACTATCGCAAATTCGTTAAAAATTATGGGAGCATAGCACGACCGCTAACAGAATTAACAAAAAAAAAGATGCTTTTAAATGGAATTCGGAGGCTCAATTGGCTTTTGAGAATTTGAAAACAGCGTTAGTCACAGCCCCTGTTCTGGCACTGCCGGATTTCTCACAACCATTCGTCGTTGAATGTGATGCTTCTGGGAGAGGCATTGGAGCGGTTCTGATGCAACATAATAAACCACTTGCTTATTTCAGTAAAGCCCTGAGTGATCAGAATCTGTCCAAATCAGCTTACGAACGCGAGATTATGGCATTGGTCCTTGCAGTTCAACACTGGCGATCTTATTTATTGGGAACAAGATTTGTGGTGTACACAGACCAAAAAAGCCTTAAGTTTTTATTGCAACAACGTATTACATCCCCGGATCAACAAAATTGGGTTGCAAAACTGTTAGGCTACAATTTTGACATTCAATATAAACCGGGCCGGGAAAACAGGGCAGCGGATGCTCTTTCGCGTCGAGTCGAAGCAGGGGAGTTGACTCAATTACAATCTACTCCACTATGGGTTCAAGGGGCAGAATTGATCAAAGAAGCACAGGAAGATGTGGATATTCAACGATTAATTCAAGCATGCCAAACACATCCTACTCGCCATCCAAGCTATTCAGTTCGCAATGGAGTTTTGTACTACAAGGATCGATTGGTGATCTCTCGCCAGTCTAAGTTTATTCCTGACCTCCTCTATGAGTTCCACACGTCAGCAACTGGAGGACACTCGGGGTATTATCGTACCTATCGACGGCTGGCAGCTAATTTATATTGGCATGGTATGATTGCTTGTATTAAGCACTTTGTGCGCGCTTGTGATGTTTGTCAGCGGTGCAAAGCGAGTTCGTTGACTCCTGGGGGCCTGTTGCAGCCATTAGAGATTCCAAGGGCAATTTGGGAAGATCTCTCCATGGATTTCATACTTGGACTTCCCAAGTCCAAAGGGTTTGATGTGATTTTCGTTGTTGTTGACCGATTGTCTAAATACGCCCATTTTATACTTTTGAAACACCCGTACACCGCCAAGATGGTGGCTGAAGTCTTTGTTCGTGAGGTGGTCCGCCACCATGGCATCCCAAAATCCATTGTGAGTGATCGTGATCCCTTGTTTATTAGTAAGTTTTGGCAGGAAATTTTCAAATCTCAAGGCACCCACTTGCATATGAGTTCGGCTTACCACCCGGAATCTGATGGCCAGACAGAAGTAATTAATAGATGCTTAGAAGCATATCTTCGATGTTTTGCAGTAGATCAACCACGTTTGTGGGCTCAGTGGATCCCCTGGGCTGAGTTTTGGTACAATTCCACCTTCCATGGATCCACGGGCATCTCTCCTTTTGAGGTGGTTTATGGGCGCAAACCACCTACCATTTTTCAGTATGTTCCAGGCGAAGTGCGCGTGCAGGCTGTATCTCAAGAGTTGCAAGACCGTGATGAAGCAATTCGACAATTGAAGATCCATTTAGCTCAAGCACAGAGTAATATGAAGACTCAAGCTGACAAAAAACGTAGAGATGTTCACTTTCAGGAGGGTGAATGGGTGTATGTCAAACTCAAACCATATCGGCAGATGTCTGTCTCTAGCAGGATACATCATAAATTGGCTGCAAAATTTTTTGGTCCATTTCAGATTCTAGAAAAAGTAGGCCCGGTGGCTTACAAGCTTCAGTTACCTCCTACATCCAAAGTTCATCCTGTTTTTCATGTGTCGTTGCTCAAAAAAGCGGTGCAAGCTCCAGTGGATCCAACTCTTCCTCCGGATTTGGAGGTGGATACTGGGGATATTTTAACTCCTGCAGCAGTTTTGGCTACTCGTGTCGTCGGGGATCCTCCCGACAAGGTGGAACAATGGTTGGTGCATTGGAAAGGACAAGCGCTGGAAGAAGCTACATGGGAGGATGCTCTCACTATCCAAGAACAGTTTCCAAATACAAGTCTTGAGGTCAAGACTTTAATTGATGGGGGGAGTAATGATACAGATACACGTCTAACAATCAGTAAAGGGAGCACATTGGGACCACTAAGAGTATATTCTAGAAGGGGAAAAAGGGCAAATCCGGAAAGTGGCTAAATTGGTTAGGGCGTGAGAAGAGAATAAAAGGGAGGAGAATATTTTGTTTTGATCATCTGGTTATTTTGTGATATTTGTATTGGCTCAGGAGTATTCATGCTCTGTGAGAGAGGGACCACTCCCTGGACAATCGTATGATTGGTTTTGATTACGTTTTATCAATAGAAACTATCTCCCTTTCCATTCATTTCAGTTTTTTTACAAAACTTTCTTACATAAGCTAGTATTCTATCAATCTCAATTCTCTATCAATACCCTTTTGATCTATTAGCAATAAAGGATTACTCAAGCTGATCATTTTTTTACATAAAAGAAAGTAGAGAAGATTATATTACCTTGACCAAGTTTGTTAAATGTGGATGACCATTGCTTTGTAGACTTCCTATATGCTGAAAGTATCTTATCCATCTGCTCAAGAATGCCAAACCATGGTTATGTTTCTTTTTTACTTAATGAGTTAAGCACTTAATCTGTAAACCCATACATGACTGTTTCTTTTCTACTCAATCCAGACATAATGACTTACTGGGCTAAGCCACAGAAGCATAGCCTAATGTAGTTACACACACTAACCCTTTACCTATTTTATTTTTCCTCCCAAAATTGATGAATGTTGTGAAATTTGCTTTTTGGTGAATGTAAGGGCAAAATGGTCATTTATTCAGTCTAGAAGAAACAGACCCTATGTATTCAGACTTTATTACCCATTCATCCACTTTACCCATATAATGGGAAGGAAAAAAAAAAATGTCTAATTTGAATTTTGGATACAAAATTTCCAATTATCTTACCACATTTCCACATGATGAATGCATAGAAAGCAAAGCACGTTCCAGAACATATAAATCAACACCTTTGTCTTCTGGAAGTGTGGACACAAAGCTCAGACCAAAATCGATTAATACCTGACAAAAGATAAACAAAGTTGATACACAAATAATCGTATAAAATTTATAAAAAAAAAAAAAAAAAAAAAGGTATTAAATAATACCAGCTGGTTTGTGTCACTACGCCATAACATATTGGATGTGGTTAAGTCCCCATGAATGACTCCACCATCATGTAATTTCCCAATTGTATCCCCAATCTGTAAGGCAATGTCATCCATCTTTTCTTCAACAACTCCTTTTAATCCAAATTCAAGGAATATGTCTTTGATGGATGGACCTTCCACATACTCAAAAGTTAGGGTATGTGATACAGGGTCTACTGCATAAAGCACAGGAGTAGAAACTCCAAGCCTTCTAGCTTTTGTCATACACCTAGCCTCCTATAAAATAAATCAATCATTAATATTATACTATAGGAAACAAAAGCCAAATCTTAAAATCAAATATTTGTCAACAAACCGCATTTAAGCGCTTGAGTGTGAGCTTTGAATCTAAAGTTGGATGTCTGTACTTCTTTGAGAATCGTTCCTTAACAATTGACTTCCTTCCTCCAAATGTTGACTCAAAGACTCTCTAAGAAGCATCAATCAAAAAAAATTAACCATATTATTATACATGGATTCCATTTTGGAATTTCAGTTACATAAACAATGTAAAAAAAACATTTATCTCACAGCTTCTGCTCCTTGCTTTATCAGAACCAAAGAGCCACCTCCATTTGTTTCAGTATCCATATCTCTAAAGCACTAGTGTTTTCCTTTGGCTTTCTGCAGTCCTAAAGTCAAGAAGATAAACAAGACAAACAATTACATATCAAAGAAAATTTCATAGACTCTCAAATTTCATAAAACTGCTTCATTCGTTTCACTAACTCTACTTAAAGCCAATGAATAATCTAACATGTAGCCTCATAAGCTTAGAAATTGTGGTGGAATTAATAATTTCAACAGATTTCAGCCTGAAAATTTTATCTAGCAGTTGCTACGCACTGAAAATTTGAAGTATGTGAATCAACAAAATATGAAATCTACATCATAGTCATGTAAACGTTTTTACTAATCCGAAAGCAAAAAACTTGCAGTCAACAAAAGCCTCGAAAAGCGGTTAAGGAAAAAAAAAAAAAAGTATCGAACAGAAATCGGGTAAATACGTTACCATCAAAGCTAGTGGTATTTGGTTTTCACAAGAAGTTGTATGAAAAATATGAGTTCACACTTCAACAGGCTTTTTAAATCTAGAAATTGTGATGAATTAGTCGACTTTAGCCAGGAAACATCCCCGAACAATTGGTACACACTACAAATTTGAAGTGTGTGAATCAACAAAATACGAAATTCCCATCGGTTATCCCATGTATGCTCCATGTAACGGGTCTTACTAATCCCAAAGCACAAAACTTGCAGTCAACAAAATCAAAACCCTAGAAAACCAGATTACCTTGTGATGGCGGGAATGGAAACAGGCACGACGGCGGAGGGGCTGAGGGTTTCTAGGGGTTTATTGTTATTTTTGGTATAGGATTGTTGGGGATAATTTAGTAAATTCGCATAGAGTGGACGGGAAACATATTCATTATGTATGTTAGACACATAATTATATCTAACTCTAATATTTTGCAATTAGGGTCTTGCCCTTTGGAAATCACCGGTGATTTTTTTAATAAAATTTTATAATTGTCGATCAATCATTTTAAATAAAAATTTAATTAGAATAGTTATGTTTTTTTATTTATTTAAAATTATAATCATCTATTTAAATAAATATGTAACATTATTTTCAAAGTTATATTTTATTTGTGAAGTAATGACAATAATAATATTGTATGATTAAATATTAGATTAATTATATTTTAATTATAAAAAAATAAAACAACAGCAACAAAAAATGGAATTTATAATAGATATATACAAAATAGGAAAGTTAAGTTGTTGAAACAAAAATATATGAAAAATGTAACAAATTACAAATAAAAATTAATAATAAAGTGTTTTTAAAAACCAAAATACAAGTTTTATTTATGATTTTATAGTCATTATCTAAAATTAACAATTTTAATCATTATCTACTTTTAACTCTAGATAAGGTAACATACAGTTGACTATGTGTAAAAATCGAATCTTTGAGAAACAAACCAACTATAGAGGCTGTTTGGCATGATCTGAATTTTTAAGATCTGAATTTTTGAGAGGTCTGAATTTCTAAGAGGGTCTGAATTTTCAACATGTTGTTTGGTTGAATCCTCTTAACTGCTATGTTGAATAATAAAAATGTCAATTTTACCCTTTTGTATTATCTAGTGCTAAATTCAATATTTCTATTTTAAAAAATAACCAAACCATCTCCTTTAATAATTACAAGTAAAATATAAACACTTTGAAAAATCTAAACCAAATATAAAACAAAATTAAACAAAGATCCAAATCAAACATAAATATAGTAATTTCAGGTTTAACTGAAACAAAAATCGTGACAAAATGTAAGCTGCTAAATGTAATAGTTGCACTTGAATTGATTACTTGAGTTGATTTCGTGGGATGAAAGTGTGATAGAACCCCTTTCCATTTTGTCCAACATCTGCACATGCCTTTCCATTAACTTCAGCTTGTTGTTTAGTGATTGAATCTGCAATTAGGATTTGAAAAGTCACGTGAGTATTTTAAGAGCTTTTGGAAAGAAAATTGAAATATTAAATGAGGAACAAAATGTTACATAATCAGATCATAGTTTCCAAATTCCTTCAAGAGTATACCAATAGGTAATAAACACATTTAAATGTTACAAAAGTTGCACATAATCAAAAACCTGAAGTAAAGACAAAAAAATAGGAAATTTTGAAGTTAAATTTATCAGCAAAATTCACGATTGACCCAATTTTAAGGTCCGATTTCACATCCTCATAATCATCTTCAGTAGATTCTTCATCTCAATTAAACAGTAAAGTCGTTAACATATACAATGAAATAAAACAGCTAGGTAAGAAATTTTATAAACATTAGGGCAAAGCATATGATTTCAAGCAAAGAATATGATTTCTACCAACATCACAAATATTCCAACGAAAATAATCAAGTTTTAGGGAAAGAAAAAAATTACCAAGATATGTGTTGTCGACGAGGGACCTGGAGGGCTTCGATTCGGCGATGGCGGTAGTAGCGGAGACAACGTCACCGATGGAGGCGAAGGCGGAGGCAAGGTCGCTGGAGGAGGGGTGGTCGGCTGATGGTGGAAGGGTCGGTCACCTGGTTGCAGATCGGAGATGAAGGGGGGGATGCAGTGTCGTGTGTGTTGAAAGAGAAGAGGGAGCTGGGAAAGTGGGGCTGAAACATCAAGGGGAAACTTGGATAAGAGCGTGTCTTTTTAGTTCAAACTTGTCATTATATCTGAAAAATTAAAAGGCACATGACATATTAAGAGGCATAAATTAAGATACTAAAAAACACTATAAATCTGAATAATTAAGAGGTTGTCTTTTAAACTTTCAATTAATAGGCTACCAAACAACCCCTTAGATAAGGATTGTCATTGGCGCTTGTTAATTGTCATTGCAAAACAAACGGATAATGGAAATTGTCTTCTTTGAAATTTGAATGAGATTTTTTTTTCAGATGGCGTTAACAACATTATTGGAATAAAGGTCCGATTTCCAATATTACTTCCGGATATGATAACTGCCTCAATAACATATTTGCCCAAATATATCACGTATAGTCTAGTGTCATTACACAAGCCATTTTCCTGATCAGTGTTTCTCAACAACATAACTGGAACCTCGACTTTCAAAACTAACTTATGATTAAGTAGACCTGAGACTTTAAGATCATTTAAAACATCAAGTGAGTATAAATTAGCATCCAACTGATCATGAACAAACTTTGATAGACATAGTTTATCTTAACTTAAATATTTGACTTTATCTCCTTGAAACAATGATAGCAACCAATCATTTATTTTTCCAACAACTTCATTTTTTAGAGCAAATATTAATCTTTCTTGAAAATATCCCGGATTGTTGGAATCTTCAAGAATTGATGGATACACAAAGTCAATTAATGAACTTATAGGATCACACAGATCATTAATGAGAAGATCCTGTGGAATATCAATAATCGCTTCTCTATCGTTAGGACCACCAGCTTTTCCTTCTCCTATATCCAAGAGTCATTTTGCAAAATTCATTGTTTGTTGAATAGTAGATGTATCGCTTCCAACAGGTAACCTCATATTTTTGGCTAATTTATGGACTTTGCATTGTTGTCATAAATATGAAGAACTTAATGATGTATTAACAGTGTATTGTCTGCTACCACCTAAGATAATAGGCAGAATTTGTCTTAAATCTCCTCTGAACACAATCACTTTCCCTCCAAATGGCAATTTTGAGTTTCTAGGATTACGACACTTTAATACAACTTTCAAAGTTCGATCTAAAGCTTCAAAGTCGTGCTTGTGAATCATAGGTGCTTCATCCCATATGATCAATGAGATTTTTTGTAATAAACTGGCGAGTTTAGTGTTTTGTGATATGGAACAAACAAAATCCTCAGTAAGAACCAATGGAATTATAAACCGGGAGTGCATTGTCATGCCTCCGGTTAATAATAAATAAACAATCCCACTCGAAGCAACATTTAAAACAATTTGAGATTTACATCTAACTGCGGTAGATAATGTTTTCCAAAGATAGGTTATACCTGTTCCACCATAACCCTATACAATGAAAACACCTCTATTTTTATGATTTGCAATCATGATGTCATCAAAAATGTTTCGTTGCTCATGCATTAATGCAACTGAAAGCTAATCAAACTCGTTCTTTAAATAAGATGTCATAATCTAGCTCCTCAGTGATGAGACGATGATTTGAAGAAGTTACAGAATCAGCATCAGGAAAAGGCATCCATGTGTAATCTTTGAGAGTTGAATTGTTACAAAGTAAAATTTGTTTAGTCTCAAACAAAGTCAGGTTCTTAATTTGATCTTCATTAAGTGATAAAGCTGTAACGAAAATGGTATAATAATTAGAATAAATTTAAAAATACATTTGTATATATTATTAACTAATATATATACCAAACAAAAATATGTATTTTAAAATAAATAGACAATAATATAATACCCGGAGATTTTAATATTTGTTGTTGAGTGTAAAGAATTCAATCAGACAAGTATTTTCATGTATTTTCCCACACAGTGTAGACAAACTTTTAGATAATAACATTGTAGCAAATAAGAACCGTAGACAAGCTCTTTGGACGTTTTTCATGTCCCAAATGATAAAGTTGGAAACTTATCCTTCCTAACCGCATTCCCAGTCCATATTTGAGCCTCGGAGCTCTTGGGGTCGAAAAAGCAACTGAATATCTTAAGTTGTTGGGAAACTGGCGAACATGGCGTGTTGGCTGAAGTTTTTCCGCCTGTAGAATTGTTTGCAGAACACGGCGTGGTCAAAAGGTTACTGCATAAACTTACAATTTGAGAGGCTAAAATAAAGTTCAAGTTAGAGTGTAACTGCAGAAGCATTCGCCAAAGCTTCTCTTCCCAAAAAGATAAATGTTGGGTCGTTTCCGCTGAAAATATTGAAATAATAAACATAACTTTTTTTTAACAAGCATTGAATTATATCACCATACGATAAATATAGATTAAAACAGAAACATAAAAGAGAAGTGTGATTGAAACTGTGCCATATGCTTTAGCTACAGTAGCACATGAGTATTTCGCATAAGCGTGATGAATTAATCACGACCACCCAATTCATGGATTAAACAATGACAAAGTTTTTCCCTTGTTGTATGTAGTTGTTGCTCGCATGCAAAAGCAAATAACTTTAAGGTATCCTATTCCTAAATATAAGTAAAAAGAATAAAAAAAAAAACATAAGAGTTATGTTAATAAAATCAAGGAAATTATAATCATAACTTAGAATTAGAGAAATTATAATCAACAAAAAGCTAAACATACTTGCTAAAATCTTCAGGCATGGCTTGACCCCGTCAAATGCACAAATGGCTTCATTTTGTCGGATAACTCAAAAATCAGCAAGGCGAAGAGGAAGTTTTGAGAAGTGAATACGAATAAATCTCATAACCGGGTGAAATTGTTGATGAATTAGGAAACGAAGATTAATAATATTACATAATGTTAATTGATTTTCACCAAAACCATGTCATTCGTTGAAAAAATTACAAAAGAAACCCAAATCATGAACCAAGAATTTAATTTAAACAGTAAGATCTAAGAGCACGAGCTGAGACTATCCCCTATAAGATCGACTATATAATCAAATACTAAGCAATGTCATTGACAAGTCATTGGTTTAAGCCCCGACTCTTATGTTTCTATATGCACCAAAAAGTGTAAAGCATACACATGCCAATAATGGTGTTATATCAATACAAATAAACTTAATTACATCAAATAAAAACATGTTCTTGTACTTAGAAGACGACCCAAAGTTTCCCACAATTGCATATTGAACATGCCACCTGTAGTAACCTGCCAAAATAATTAACAAAAGCCATTGTTTGCAATATGCATTTACACAATGTTTAAATAGATGAAGAAGATGAAAAGGACACAATCAAAAATTGACAAAATTAATAGTTGGGCTATTAAATTCGTCGACCGAGAGACCAAAAACAACTAAATAAAAAAATATGCAATCACATGCATAATAAACAAAACTAAATTGCTATTTCTGACATGGGCTAGTTATAACACCACCTACATCATCTTTATAACATATTAAACATAGTAGTTATAAGTTCACATGAAATTTGATTAAAATGTGTCTATTTTCCAATTTAATTCCTATTCCTTAGAAACCATTTAGTCATCAAATTGAAGTCGATTATACCTTGTTTATATTGACTTGGAGTCGTAGGATCACCATTCAATAGTGAAAAAAATGTACCTGCGAACATCAAGGCATTCAAATTTGGAAAGGATTGCAATCGTGATTTATTGAGATTAGGTTGATTCATGATTTTTTAGGATTTGATTCTGTCGGATTAATTTGAAGGTTTTATTTACTGCCGATTGAAAAGTGCCTCACAACTCCCGTACATGTTCTTCTCCCACGCAGTGAATCCAACAGGTATTTTTTTCAATTCATGTGTATATTTTGTTACAGAATTCGGATTTTTTCATCTTCATCATAATTTTAATTCATTATTTTTTTATCGATCTAATGAAGATACTGTGTGATTATTCACTTTGGTTCCTAGTGAAATAAGTTTTGAATGAAATTTTATAATCATGTTTAACAAAAAGGAATAGAAAAATCACAACGTGAAAAAGTTTTTGCCTTTTTTTTTTTCAGCTTTCTTGTATGAATTCATGCTTGCGATCATAAGGTTTTAATGAAAAAGTTTATTCCTTTTTTTTTTTTTTTTTCCAGCTTTCTAGTATTAATACATGCATGCGATTGTAAGGTTATAATGAGAATAGTTAAATTTTTCTGTTAGGATTGTAGAGAGTTCAAAGTACTACCAAGATAGGTTTTACTTTCACAGAAACAATAGATTCAAACTTTCCATTGATGCGTAATAACCTTTTAATTAGGTTATATTTATTTAATGTAATTTGGTTGTTAAGAAAAATGATTATTGTAGATATCTTTTATTGACCGTATCCATCATTTAGTTCTCAAACTTATTCAATGATGTTAGCAATAATCATGACACTTTAGCATAATTTATCTTCTCTCTTGACCAAGTTATGTAAATTATCAGATTCTTCTTTGGATACGGCTGATGATATGCTCATCTCATTATTACTACCCTTTTCAAAATAAACTTATAAATACTACCCTTGTCACATAAACTAATATTTCCAGATTCCCTTCCATTGCTACCCCCTAATAACTTCATGGATGCATTATTCTTGTTTGTCAATTTCTACAACAGTACCTCACATATTTGCACCATCTATGGGAAACAATCAAAACCAATTCTATAACTGCTATTTTTGGTCTTTGTTGTTATTGACACGAGTAAGTTGTTATTGACACGAGTAATGACGACTTTTGCGAATGATCTAATAATATGAAGCACATTTGTAATGATATTGCTACTATGAAATGTTCGACATTGATGATTTTATTACTAGATTTTTTATGTTGTTATATGATTTTAGATTTTGTAATAGTACCTAGTTATCGAATATTTTCTAGTTTTGAAAAAGAACAATTTAGACAATCATTTTTTCATTATTATGTTTCTATTTTATATTGTACAAGATGCCATTTTATGTAATTTTACATGTTTTAAATGTTTTCAATTATTTTTGTTAAACACTTATATAACAAATAAAAACAATAGTCACCCGCTACCTGCTACCACTTAGTTTTGCCAAACATATCCCTAGACGAATTGTTGTTGTTGTTACTGCCTATTTACCTCCCAGCTTTTCTTACCCTTACCAGGTAAATTGTCCAACTTGTCTTGCAATTTGTTCTATGTCTTTGTCTTGCTTCATGCAAATACCCAATATGAATAATTGAAAGCCTAAACTATAAAAGCTAAAATCAAAACCCAATTGAAGACTTGATAAATGTGACCGAAGAACATTCTCAAACCTAAACTTCATTATCCTTTTCTTTTTGTTACATTTATTATTGAATTTTTGTACAAATACGTTCATAAGCCCCTTGTATCCATATAAATTCCCCATGTACGTAAACACCCCTACCCCTAGTTGATACATTGTTTCCTTTACAAACTTTAAAAGCCAAAAGATTATTATTGATAGACAAATTTAGAAAACAACAAAGTAACATGAATATATGTGGAACCTAAGATTATCTCTCCAAAAGAGTCCTTGTGGAGAGAAGGGGTCACTCCAACATAATAGATCACTAATTGTTGTAAATGGAGGATATTTTATATATTATCATTGATATTATGATGTTAAAGAACGACATATATGATATTTTGATTTTTAAAAGGGACATATATGATATTTTGATGTTTAAGAATGACAATACGATATTTTAAATTTTATGAAGGGTAAATATGATATTCAAAAATTAAGTTGGGCAAATATGATATCTTGATGTTGAAGAATAACAATACAATATTTTAAATTTTATAAAAGGTTAAATATGATAGTCAGAAATCAAATTGGTCAAATATGATATTTTGATGTTTAATAAGAATATATATGAAATTCTCCTTCTTCTTGTATAAGATAAACTAAAGATACATTTTATAGTTTAAGATGGTGTTTCCTTTTGACTTGGTAGACTTACTAAATAGAGGACTTAACATAGAAAGATATATCAAGGTGTTCTTTTACGCAGTATAAAGAAAATTCCCTAGTGGGTTAAGCTACAAATTAGAAGTTAGTATTAAGTGGTAATCTCAAACTACCCTCTCATCAACATAGGTTTTCCCCATCTAAGGGTTTTTCTCTATTTATTTTCTTAATCAACGGATTTCTTGCACTATCATTTGGTTTTTCTACAAAGCTCGTGCATAAAAAAATGAATTAGAAAAAAAAAAAAAAAAAAAAAAAAAAAACAACAACAACAATATTTGAACCAAAATTTGGAAAAACTTTTTATACTTACCCTCCATGAACGCTTAGTAAAGGAAGGCCAAATATATAATTTTAAAAGTTATTTCACATTATCTAATGTATCTAAACTATTTACATAACATCTTTGGTGTGTAGAAAAACAACATAATTCCAAAAGGCATTAGACTTATATACAAATCTTTTTTTTTTTTTATTTCGTTGGCCTCTTGATATAATATTTTACTTGTATTCTAGGGTAATGTACAAGGTGCATGTAAAAATGTTTAAATCAATTTCATTTTGATGCAACTATTGATGATTAGGGTACAAATTTTATGTTGATTTCAACTATTAGATTGTATGAGTATGCCTATTAGATATACGTGTGACACAACAAATCTTGGTGATATAAATTTGTTTATCTACCAACACTTTTTAAATGTTTGTAGGAGTCCATAAAGGACACACTTGAGAAGGCTCTTCTGCAAACACAACACTTACTTCTTTAGTTTGGGTTGTAAGTTCTGTAAGTTCAAGCTGGAACAAATATGAAGTAGCTTTTTTAGGAAAAGAAAATAGTTAATAGTTATTTGGCTTTCGTATCGCTCCAAATTCTCAACTTTTCACCTTTTTTTTAGAGTTTTAGATCATCGGTGTCCCAAAAGACATTGAAAGACGTTGCTATTACGAAGGCAAGTACATGCATAAGAGGTGTTTTACAAAGTATGATAACAAAGTGATGAGTTTTTTATACTATTTTTTATAATGGGTATAAGATAGACTTGTAGAAGAGCTTTTTCTTTCATTTTTCTTTCTACAAACGCATGCTAATGACAATGTCATATTTTTCATAGCATTTTGTTATTGGGTGGATGTAGGTGATTTATTGAGGATGTGATTCGCATGCGTTAGCGGATTCATAGTGTAATAAGTGGGGGTGCATGGACCCCACCCCACTTAATTTTAAGTTACACCTTATATTTTAGATCAAAAAATCATTT